AAGGAAAAATCGTCACCTCCTTGAAGTTGCTAGAGCACTACTTCACTACTTTTCCAGACATCTGTTCCTAGTTCTTATTGGGGAGAAGCCGTGTTAGCTGCAACGTTTTTGATCAACCGTTTACCTTCACGGGTCCTTAACAATATCAGTCCTATTCATTCCATGACTTCCTTCTTTCCTTCTGTTCCCATATTGCAGAGCCTTCCACCAAGAATGTTTGGCTGTGTTGCCTTTGTCCATGTTCATAAACAACATCGGAGTAAGTTGGATCCTAGGGCTCTTAAGTGTGTCTTCCTTGGTTATACCCCTTATAAAAAAAGGGTACAAGTGTTATCATCCACCATGTCGAAATTTTTTTGTTTCTATGGATGTCACCTTTCAAGAATCTGAATCTTATTTCCTGGGTCTTAATCTTCAGGGGGAGAACAGTTCTTCAGAAGACTCATCCCCTTCCTTCTTTGAGTCTGGATCCTCCTTGTCTACTCCTACACCTCTTCCTAGTGTGTCTGCTCCTGGTGTGTCAGAACCTTCAAATACACCTGAGATACGAAAGATTTTGACACCTGAATTGGTATATCAGAGGAGGAAACAACCCATACTGTCTCACCAGCAACCCCAATCGTCTGAACCACTGGTAAGTCCTGAATTTCCTGTTTCTGATTCTAATATTATTGCCTCTCATGATTTGCCTATTTCTTCTGATACCTCTGATGACTTACCCATTGCTTCTGCTTCTGATAACTTACCTATTGCCCTAAGAAAAGGGAAAAGATCTTGTACTCAATGTCCTATCTCCCATTTTGTTTCTTCTACTAATCTTTCTGTGCAGCACAAAAGCTTTGTTTCAGCACTAGATTCTATTTCAATCCCAAAATCAGTACATGAAGCATTGAAAGATAAGAATTGGGCTCAAGCCATGCAAGAGAAAATGAATGCATTGGAGAAAAATAAAACATGGGAGGTTATTGATAGACTCAATGGAAAGAAAGCAGTAGGGTGCAAATGGGTTTATGCCCTAAAGTATAATTCTGATAGCCCTCTTGAGAGATATAAGGCTCGATTAGTCGTCAAGGGTTACACTCAGACCTATGGCATTGATTATGAAGAAACCTTTGCTCCAGTTGCAAAGATGAATACGGTGAGAGTCTGCTGCTCATTACAATTGGGATATAAATCAATTTGATGTGAAGAATGCTTTCCTTAATGGTGAGTTAGAAGAAGAAGTCTACATGGAAATCCATCCTGGTTTTGATTCTGTGAATGGAGAAAATAAAGTTTGTAGATTAAAAAATGCCTTGTATGGATTGAAGCAGTCACCTCGTGCCTGGTTTGGAAGATTTACTAAGGTTATGATGACTTTAGGATACAAACAAAGTCAAGGAGATCACACTCTTTTCTTTAAGCACTCCCAAGATGGGAAGCTCAATGTGCTCCTTGTATATGTTGATGATATTATTATCACAAGTGATGATTTTGTGGAGAGACATATTCTGCAAACAAGACTAGCATCTGAGTTTGAAATTAAATACCTTGGGAAACTGAGATATTTCCTAGGGATAGAAGTAGCTCATTCAAAAAAAGAAATTTTTATCAGCCAGAGGAAATATGTTCTTGATCTTCTCAAAGAAGTAGGAAAGCTCGGGTGTAAACCCTCTAATACTCCTATTGAGCAGAATCACCAGTTAGGCTATGAAGAGGAGAGTCCTCCAGCTGATAAAGGACAATAACGGCTAGTTGGGAAATTGATATATCTGGCTCATACTAGACCAGACCTAGCTTATGCTATTAGTGTTGTCAGTCAGTTTATGCACAATCCAAAGGAAAAACACATGCAGGCAGTGGAGAGAATTCTTCAGTATCTTAAAGCTACTCCTGGTAAAGGATTATTATTCCGGCGTGATGGCCATCTCTCTTTAGAAGTCTACACTGATGCTGATTATGCTGGATCTGTGACTGACCGTCGTTCTACCACTGGTTATTGTATGTTTCTTTGTGGTAACTTGGTGACATGGAGAAGTAAGAAACAAGATGTGATTGCCAGATCAAGTGCAGAAGCTGAATTTCGAGTCATGACTCCAGGCATTTGTGAGTTACTGTGGCTAAAAATTGTACTTGATGACCTCAAAATAAAATGTGAGGGACCTATGGAGCTAGCTTTTGGGGTGGTGTATCCCAAGGTTCTTTACACATCATGATCGAACAAAGCACGTGGAAGTTGATCGTCACTTCATCAAAGAAAAATTAGATAATGGAAGTGTGCGTATGATATATGTTCCAACCAAAGAGCAAACTGCAGTTATCCTTACCACGGCCCTACACCGTCCAGCATTCGAAGGTTTGATTGGCAAGTTGGGAATGATCAACATTTACTTCCCAACTTGAGGGGGAGTGTAGAAAATCAGAATTCGAATATGTTTCCGTTTTTATTTCCTATTAATTAGGATTGATTATGATTGATTAGGATTGATTGTAATTGATCAGAATTGATTGTGATTAGGATTGATTAGTCATCGCTGAGTCATTCTTAGTGATTCTTCCTTGTATAAATACACACTCATGTAATTTATTCAATATCAATATACAGAAACCTTTTTCAATAGTGTACTCCAATTCCTTTTTAAGGAGTGGAACTATCATCTCATGAAAACATGGAACTTTTAGGTGTGGACCATAGTTTCAAATAGCTTCAACCATCACTTGAAGCTTCTTGAATTAACAACGTTAAAAAGTACTCTGTTCCAACAAAAACACCAGCTATGTACTTAATAGTCTTAGCCCTTGCTTCTTTACCATATGTATCATTTATGCTTGTTTGCCTCACCCATATTAATAGTAGGCCATAGTGTCGCGGGCAATGTGTTATCTGGCCACTATGCAGTAGCCATCACATAGTGTTTTCGAGTTTTGCCTATATTGCGGCTGCTGTCACGACCAACATTGTGGGGAATAACAATTGTCACAGCCGCTCCTATGAAGAGTGAGTAAAAACCTGTGCGGAATAATCTCTCTCTCTCTCTCAGCCTTGGTGTTTTTTGGCCAAACCCTGTACTTTGTTTTCCAGCCAAGCTCTATTATATGGCCAAGCCCTACTCATTTTTGGGTTCTTTAACCTTTATTATGTTACGCACTGCACCAAAATCTATTTTTTTTTTTTAATTCTGATTTTGGTAATCATCCACTCCACATAGGCTTTGGTAATTGTCATGGCATCATTCCACTAGCCACAAGGAACAACTCCACCAAATACCTCAGCCTTGGTCTTTTCTTGTGCTTTGGCAAAATGCACTGGCGGCATGAAGATACCGAGGATGATGATTTCAATTGAGGAAAAACTTGTATTTGAATTCGAAAGTGACAATGTTTAGTTCCTTTATGTTGCTTGACTTTTGTTGTTATTGACTTGTGTATTTGGCTTAAGAAAATGAAGAGAGATAGAAAATGGTGTGAAGCCCTTGTATTCAGATCTAAGATTTAAAGTTACAAAGAAATGCAGTACAAGCTCTATATATAGAGCTGAGAGTGACTCAAAGATGAGTCAGCAAAGTCTAACACAATAGTTAAACAAATTACAAACAAAAGCTATAATCCACTACATCCAATACTACAATATAGCACTGAACTTAGAGTAAATCAGTAAACAGAAAAGCCCACAGAACCTACTAATAAAGCTACACTGTATGGTATCAAAGTGGAAAGTGACTCAGAGATGAGTCAGCAAAGTCTAAAAAAAAAGCTAAACAGATTACAACTGACTAACAAAAACAGAAGCTATAATCCACTACATCCAAGACTACAATATAACACTGAACTTAGAGTAAATCAGTAAATAGAAAAGCCCACTGAGCCTACTAATAAAGCTATGCTAATATTAATCATGAATAGATCTTTAAATTTGTTTTTTTTTAGTATTTATATATATGTAGTATAATTCATGCAACTTTTATCTACAGGCTATTCGTTATCCCACTGCGTGGTTTTGGAATCGGTTGTTGTCCAAGATTGATTACTATGTTGTATATGTGTATTTTTATTTTTATATTATTTATAATTTATATTTATTTATAAACATGCAATTGAACCTGTAAAGAACCTTGGAATACACCACCCCAAAAGCTAGCTCAAAGGGTGGGAGTGTCCAAGACCTTATAAAGGCCACATTAGTTGTCCACACAATCAATATGGGACTATATATATCAACACGCCCCTTCACACGAGAGCCTATTGGGCTTGAAGCGTAGATTATGCACAGGCCCAATTTTTTGTTTACCTTTTTGTGCTTTTTATTTTTAATTCCACTTTAAAGTGGGAGGCGGTGAGGGCTCAAGCTCTGATACCATGTAAAGAACCTTGGGATACACCACCCCAAAAGCTAACTCAAGGGGTGGGAGTGCCCAAGGCCTTATAAAGACCACATTAGTTGCCCACATAATCAATGTGGGACTATTTATCTCAACCCGCCCCCTCACGCAAGAGCTCTTTGGGCTAAAAGCGTGGAATTGCACAGGCCCAATTTTTGGTTTACCTTTTTGTGCTTTTTTTTTATTTTAATTCCACTTGAAAGTGGGGGGCCGTGAGAATCGAACTTGTGACCTTTTTAGTCACTCAAGCTCTGATACCATGTAAAGAACCTTGGGATATACCACCCCAAAAGCTAGCTCAAAGGGTGGGAGTGCCCAAGACCTTATAAAGGCCACATTAGTTGCCCACACAATCAATGTGAGACTATATATCTCAACAGAACCAGTGACCTAGTGACCCAGTACCATGAACGGGGTATCTCCGGTCTGCTTTTAAATGCAAGATAATAAAGACAATAATAGTATGTCATTCAAGTCTTACATGAGAACAAAACATGAGTGTAAATTTTACAGTAATTAAGGTTTTCACTCCCAATAAAAGCTTTGAACTATATTTTAAACAAGAGGCATCATACTGATAGAGTAGAATTTCTTTTTCAGTGGGCAAAATTAATCCATAAAACATTCATTAAATCACTTAACCTTGCTCTCATCAAAATCAAAGTCAACAAGAGGGAACATATCTGGTATCAAGTACTCTTCCATGCATTTGTAGTTGTCTAATGACCAGAGACGAATAACCTATCATAATGCAATGGAAATAGTAAGTTCAACAAGGACTAACCTAGTTGGAAACTATACCATACCAAAAACAAGAAAAATAAAACAGAGCAATAAAGGGTAAATAAACTAACATAAATTTATGCTGTTTTCATGGACAGCGATGCTTTATTTAGAAAGATAAACATAGTCAAGTACGCAGGATACATAGTCAAGTACGCAAGATGTATACACTCCAATACCAGAAAAAGAACAAAAAAGTATTTTACAAATTTAAAGAAACTAATGATGATGATTTCTCCAGCCACGAGGGAAATGAAGGAATAGGTAATAGAAACAAGAATGTCAGCAAATTGCTTTAAATCCTTAGCAAGGTAGTTTTGAAACCTTGAAAAATTTGTGTTTTTCATGTTCAACCAAAATAAATCACTGCAAATTTCTTACAAAATATCTCTTGAAGTTTCAGCCTTGAAATACTTCTTGAGACCATTCACCCCCCCCCCCCCCCCCCGAAACATACACCCCTTTGGAAAAAGAGAGAGAGAGAGAGAACAAGGTTTACAATTTCATCACCCAACTTCACATAAGCAGAACCCAGAGTACAGATCAAGCAGGAAGTGTAACATGTCTGCCATGATATTCGATGACAAAACTATATTAATGCCAAACTAAAACAATTAAAAGTACTCAGACATAGTGCCGCAACCCATGCCGGTTGCGCTTCACGGTGCCCCACCGCAACAATATGTGCCGCGCCGCACCAGATTGCAATAGCAGCCGCATCTGCGGCCAAAACGCCACAACAACGTCATAAGGAAAAATGTCAATTTTGTCCTCATTTTAAATGTCTAACAGAAATATTTTAAAAGGGTTTTTTAGTCTTTTTGTGGGTTTAAACCTAACCCACTCTCTTCTCCCTCTCTGTTGCACACCCTGCCTTTCTCGCTCTCTGTATCTCGCGCTGACTCTCTGCTCTGCCTCTCTCGCTCTTTCTAGTTCTCTCTCGTTTGTCTCTCTCGTAGAAGGCCTCTGCTTTTTTTTTTTAATGTTTCTTATTTATTTAGTCTCTAGGAATTGTACCTGTAAGGTTTCTTATTTTCATTTGTTTGAATTTATCAATGCATTGTTAGTCTGAAATTTTCACTGGGTTTTATTTACTTGGCTCCCTAGAACTAGAATTTGTCCTCTGTTTCAAGTTCATTTATGAGCTTAATTTTATTTCTTTCTTTAGGTTTTCATTATTTTTTTTTTAAATTCATTTTGTAAGTGGGCAAAACAGACTAACAATACTGTCTCTGTCATTTTGGTTTCACTTTTTGCAGGAAAATGAAATGTATCCTGCCTCTAAATTAAATTTTGAGATGTTTTGGATTAATTATGTTTTAGAATATTGACAATATTTAGATCCTTTTAATTGAATATTTGGAATCCTACTTGTTTTTGGAACAATTCTTCATTATGAATGAATGTCTTTATTTTTTAGCATATATATGCATGGTATATCCAGGTTCTATTGATCTATTCGGCTATTTCTGTTATTTCCACAACCACAATCCGTTATAGTGCTATAGCATTTTTTAGGATTGGCCGCAATAGGCCACAATCCGTATTTGATAACTTTGTCAGACATGTCCCAATTAGAAACCTCTCCTCATTAATCAATTAAATTTTAGGAAAGTCTATGAGGAACAGATATAGAAACATTGTCGTGGGGGCCAGATAAAACACCATATGTAATAGCCACTGAAGCAACGTTTTCAGGAACCAAATTCCCAAGTCAGTCCTCCCTCCTTTCTAGGCTTAAAGTTATGCTATCATATAATCAAAGGATCCCTCTTCTTGCTACAATCCCCAACCACAAGAAATCCCAGGTGATTTTCCCAATTTGATTAACCATCATATAATTTTAAACTGGGAAAGATGGTGCATTTGGATAGTAGAAAACAAGCCTAAACCAGAGTGGTAGCATCTCTGAATGAGAAGCTTCTTTCCAGCTATCCAACCTTCCATAATATTCTAAACTAATAGGGCTTAAAATTATTAGTAGCCGAATTCTCTACTTCTGCACAACAATGTATTTTTATCATTTTAACTATGAAGGATGGTATCTCAAATACAGCATGTTGAAATTATCCCAATAGTTCAAGCGATATCAAAGTCCAATCACATCTTCTCTTTTGTAATACATATCAAAAGACTAAATTGATACTTCAGAAATTATCAGATGCATGATATGGAATTGGTAAATAATACAGGTGTCTCAGCCAATGCAAGATCTTTAGATATTGTATTGTGAAGTGAAGATGTATATTGAAGTACCACTATACCAGTTTTCATGATTCATAACTACCAAGTAATAACTTACTAATGTACTCGGCACGTGATATGCATGTCTTAATTAAGGGGGCAGAAAGAGAGAAAAATCAAGCCAGAAAAGTTTATCATCTCTAGAATAGATCATACAAAGTTAGCCAAGTAGCTCAAAAACAGTTCATAATAAACAATAAAACTGACAGCTTATGAATACCAGCTACTTAGGGAAGGAAACTTTTAAGGATAGGAAATTGGAAAAATAGGAGATATAAGAATACGGCCATACCTTATCACCCACGCCAGTGACAACCATGCCCATTTTCATTCGGCACTGTGCAACCCTGAATTGAAAGGGATGTATGGGACATCAATATACACCCTGCATGTAGATCTGGTGTGTACTTATGACACAAATGCACACAAAAAGGTACGCAACAAAGCAATCTGAGTATGGATCCATCAATAGTACTCACATTGGAGCGACATGTCTATCGGATTTTTCATATATAATGCATTAAGTTATAGTTATGAGAGTGATATACAAACTATGCTGATCTGGTGTGTACCTAATAATGAGTAATGACACCCAAATGAATGTTCTAGGTATAATGAACATTGAACAAACACTTCAAAGAATTGTCTCAATAGCATATACATTTTACTAACAGGCACATACATTACAACTTTTACATTGCAGCTAACTACTTATCAACTAAGGGAAAGTCACTTGCATAAGCTATACACCATATGTGCCCAATATAAACCAATTTTTTTTTTAAAAAAATATATATATATTACAGCATGACAAATTTCCCTACTAACTATGCAAAGGAATGTTATTACTCTATCAACTATGCAAATCTCTAAAATAAAGCAAGTGATTGAAAACAATAATAAGTGGAAGAGTAAGTTACGTTTTTGAATGACCCCTCCACTGATCAACATGAAACACACCACTTTGAAGGGCTAATCTATGCTGCTCCATAGCTACTTCCCTTAAAATCAACCTCAAGGGCTTTTCGGTAAATTCAGATGAACTCGAAGTGAAGGTGGAAGAATGCTTCAGCTTCCTGTCATAAAACTCTCGCAGCGACCGAGACTCGACGATTGCGTTCCTTCAAGAAAAAAAAATCCACGAACGCACGCGCGCGCGCGTTTCAATAAGGCACGTGACAATTGGTGATTGTTTTGTTCAAATTGCAAAATATCGAGAAGAAGGAAAAAGAGGGAAGTACCAAAATTTGCAAACGAGAGAGCAGCGAACGAGGTCGAACATGTCGAGGAAAGCGAAGATTATGCACATGATGTCGTGGTCGAGGGACAGTATTGTGGTCGGAGTTCCACGGCGTTTCTTTCTTTGGTCGGCGGCGGCGGACGCCGGAGATTCATCCCTCTTCTCCGCCGCTGCCGCGAAACTCCGTTGCGGTTTGGTCATTGTTCACAGTCGCGGGAACACCGGCCAAGGGTGTAAGCCTAAACCAGCTCTCTAATGCATTTGGACGGAAGGAGTCTTTGTCGTTTGCAAATGCATTCCGGATCAACGTTTGTAAAATTAAATATGACTAATTACATAATTTTGGAATTAAAATTAAGGGGTTTGATTTTCTCATTTTGCATAAGAATTCAATTTTCATGTTGTGACTCAACTAGTGGTGGGTCCCATATTTATTAAAAAAAGAAAAAGAGAAGAAAAGTTTTGCACGCAAATCGAAGGGTCACAACATGAGAATTGAATTCTAATGCAACATGAGAAAATGTTTTCCCTTAAATTAATTATGTTAAAAAAAATTTTAATTAAATTACAACTACCACCGTGTATTTAGTTTTTTTTTTAAATGTATTTTTAAGTGAAATAATCAACCTGCTTATATTATATAATTTCAATAATTAAATATAAAAAAATAAGTTTATTAAATAGCCCCTGTTAGATTGGTAGTGACGATCAATCAATCTCACTGTTAGATTGGTAGTGACGATCTGACGGTCCTCATTGGTCTATTAAATAGCCCCTCTATATTCGTTTCTCTCTCCCCCTTCTCTCTCTTCCCTTCTCTCTCACTATACACTCTGCCACCGCCGCCGTTGCCTCTGTCCCGACGGCACCGCCTGCCTCCGTCGCAGCCTCTGTCCCGACGACGCCGCCTGCCTCCGTCGCGCTGCCACCGCTGCATCCCGCGGAGAGCTTCGCCGAATACACGAGCTAGGGTTCGATTTTTACCAGATTCGATTTTTTGAGCAGATCAATTATCGCGGTTTTGTAAGTCCAATTAATATTTGAATACAGATGGTGAACCTTTATTTACCAACGAAGAACAGTTTGGTTCCTCAAAGGTCTGTGCCAATTATTAGAGGGAAACATGAAGGCGTGGAATACAAACATATTAATTGGTTTAATTGTTTGTGAAAATTGTCTCTCTAATTTTTAGTTGTTCTCTGTCCCGATCTGTTCTTCTTGTCACAGGATATGGGCGTAATTGTATTCATATGGGCATAAACATGAAGGCGTGGAATTGTTCGTAAACATGAAGAACGATTTAATTGTTCGTAAACATGAAGGCGTGGAATACAATTATTAATTGGCGCCGTCGGGACAGAGGATATGGGCGGCGGCGGCGGTGGCAGAGTGTATAGTGAGAGAGAGAAGGGAAGAGAGAGAGAAAGGGGAGAGAGAAACGAATATAGAGAGGCTATTTAAGAGACCAATGAGGACCGTCAGATCGCCACTACTAATCTAACGGTGAGATTGATTGGTAGTAACATTGGTTCTAACTTTATTTGGTTGTCACAATATCCTGTCCCAAAATTATATCCTTGTGTGTAGTAGGAAATTTGAATTCAATTCCTATCGAATACAGAGCTTTAAGTTTAAACGTGACTAATTCACGACTCAATATTAGGGAGGTGTATTGGATTGGGATTTCAAAGGATTTTAATGGATTATTTTTGGACAAAAAAATCTGTTGGTATTCAATTAGGATTTTAAAAGATTATTTTAGAATCCGTCTAAATAATGGATTGCTCTTTATCAATGGTATCTTATACCCTTTCTTAACATTAGGTTGACAACTCTTTGTCACTTAGTGGTGCATCTCATGCAACCAACCTAGCACTATTACCCTAAGCACATAAGCCCGGCTGAGCCTGCAGCTCATGTCTCAGTTAAGCACTAACCAGCACCCCAAGTGTTTTACACTTCTAATACTACTTTTACTCAACGAAACAGTGGGTCCCAACTGGGTTGTAGAGCACCACTATTTAGAGGAGGTTTGAGTAATATTGGTGGTGGGAGGTAATCATGCGCTCAATAATTTTATTCCTTTTAAGGGTTCATTTTATTAAGGGTTTATTAAGTCTCATCAAACGCATTAATATATTATCATGCTAGTCGTAACCTATGTCATACATCTAACGGTTTAAACTAGTCGCAATTGGACTTGCATAATAATCATACAAACGCGATTTAGTCCAACTCATGCATACTAGACGTCATTAGCCATAAAGCATACATATCGCGATACTCTATCTCATGCATACTAGTCGTATAATAACATACATGCAAATAAAACAGTTTTATTTTGAGATAGTCATGGTGCTCGCTCTTTTGTCCATCTTGCTTCTCAAGCCTCGGCTTCTTGTTGTCTATACGCCACTAGCCTAATTTCTCTAATTACAATTAAAGAAACTCCAAAACATCTTGGAGGGACAAAATTTAAATTACAAAATTTAAATTACAAAAAATTTGAAATTTAAATTACATCTCTTGTAAAAGAGCCCAAAATTACAAATTAATTTAAAACTTTAAATTTCAAATTCCAGGCACCATGACCATCCCCTTCCTCTTTTGCACCTGAAATCTTAGACAACTCACAAGTACAAAATATTATCACATAATATATATTTTTCACGTATGTCTTGATATTTAACAATTAATTATCAAAACATATTTAAAATTTAAAACTTTTCTTAATTTTTCAATTGGCCGAATTTTATAACAATTACTAGCCCTATGACTCTCAAGCCCTTTGGGCGTGTGACGAGTCATTTTCCCAGCTAGACAAGATTCACATTGTCCATAGGATTCCAAATCCAAGGAATCTAGGTATCCATTTGCATGCATCCTAGACAATCTTGTTTCATTTATTTGCCCTAGTCTACAGTGCCAAAGATATGATTGATTATCCATCCTAGGTCGTTTCACATCTATTTTGAGCACTTCAGTTCCCATTTCCAGAACATACAATCTATTTATTAAGGTAGCAGTACCATAAATAATATCATTCATAATGATAGAAAATGTACCATTCTTAATACTGAAAATAAAACCATCTTGTTCCAAACAAGAAATTGAAATAATGTTTCTAGAAATACTTGAAACATAAAGACATTTATTCAAATGCAAAATAAGGCCCGTAGGCAAAATGAGGTCGGCTTCTCCAACAGAATGAGCAGCAACTCTTGCTCCATTTCCAACGCGGAGGTCCACCTCGTTCCTCTCCAATCTCCTGGGGCTCCTAAGTGCCTGCAACATATTGCAGATGTGAGAACCACAACCGGTATCCAATACCCATGAAGTAGGATTAACACATGAATAATTTATCTCAATCATGAAAATACCTGAGGTAGAAGCATCACCATGCTTCTTGTCCTTCACACTCTTCAGGTAGTCTGGACAGTTCCTCTTCCAATGGCCTTTCTTGCCACAATGGAAGCACTCAGCATCGCCTTTGTCCTTGGATGCTTTCTTACCCTTCTTGTTGCCCTTCTTCTTCTTGGATTTTCCTTTGGGCTTAAGGGAGTCACCTTTAGCAGGCCCCTTACCCTTACCCTTAGCCTTGCTAGGCCCACCAATCAGAAGAGCTTGTGTCTTATCCTTCTTGATAGACACTTCAGCGGTTGTTAACATACTTAACAACTCAGGCAAGTTCACTTGCATCCCATGCATGTGGTAATTCATGATGAATTGACTAAAGGAAGGTGGAAGTGAGGTGAGCACTAAGTCATTACTTAGTTCGGCATCCATGATAAAGCCTAGATTTCCTAGCTTCTCAATCAGACCGATCATCTTAAGAACATGACTGCCAACAGGCATGCTCTCAGACATCATGCAAGAGAACAATTCTCTTGAGGCCTCATACCTCTCATGCCTGCCTTTAATATCATACAACTCCTTGAGATGTAAGACAATAGAGGGAGCATCCATATGCTCATGCTGCTTTTGCAGTTCAGGTGACATGGATGCCAACATGATGCAGACAGCCAACACATTGTCATCCATGTGCTGTTTGTGGGCCTCAAAATCAAATTCTGCGAACCCATCTTCCCCTTCCCTAGGAGCTACGGGTAATTCAGCATCTAGGACGTAAGCAATCTTTTCGGCCCTTAGAACAATTCTTAGGTTCCGATACCAGTCCATAAAATTTGGACCGGTCAGCTTGTTCGTATCAAGTATTGAGCGCAGTGACAGTGTATTAGTCATACTAATTAACTGAAAAATGTAAAGATAAAATTAATTAATATTTGGTCATGTAGTAAAAACAAATTATTAAAGACTTTAAATAATTTTGCCCCTCCCACTATTTTATCTAAGTCAATGACCCTTCCTTTTGACTTAGGGTTATTCTACTTTTAGAATTTACCTTAGTGGGATTAAGAATGCGATTATTTATTTTAACCCCCGTCTGAGACCGCAAGATTAATTTAAATAATGGATTGATCTTTATCAATGGTATCTTATACCCTTTCTTAACATTAGGTTGACAACTCTTTGTCACCTAGTGGTGCATCTCATGCAACCAACCTAGCACTATTACCCTAAGCACATAAGCCCGGCTGAGCCTGCAGCTCATGTCTCAGTTAAGCACTAACCAGCACCCCAAGTGTCTTACACTTCTAATACTACTTTTACTCAACGAAACAGTGGATCCCAACTGGGTTGTAGAGCACCACTATTTAGAGGAGTTTTGAGTAATATTGGTGGTGGGAGGTAATCATGCGCTCAATAATTTTATTCCTTTTAAGGGTTCATTTTATTAAGGGTTTATTAAGTCTCATCAAACGCATTAATATATTATCATGCTAGTCGTAACCTATGTCATACATCTAATGGTTTAAACTAGTCGCAATTGGACTTGCATAATAATCATACAAACGCGATTTAGTCCAACTCATGCATACTAGACGTCATTAGCCATAAAGCATACATATCGCGATACTCTATCTCATGCATACTAGTCGTATAATAACATACATGCAAATAAAACAGTTTTATTTTGAGATAGTCATGGTGCTCGCTCTTTTGTCCATCTTGCTTCTCAAGCCTCGGCTTCTTGTCGTCTATACACCACTAGCCTAATTTCTCTAATTACAATTAAAGAAACTCCAAAACATCTTGGAGGGACAAAATTTAAATTACAAAAAATTTGAAATTTAAATTACATCTCTTGTAAAAGAGCCCAAAATTACAAATTAATTTAAAACTTCAAATTTCAAATTCCGGGCACCATGACC